TCAGTACCAAGTTCAACACGACCAGTTCCCTCCCTTCGCCCCCTCCCTGCCCCCGGGTTTCAGATGAGGATCAGGTGAAACAGTGCGTGTTATAGGTACCAGTTTATGTATCTTTAAATATTAGAATCACAACCAGTTCTTATTAATCTCACAGAATTTATCACAAACACAGGCTGAGAGGGGCTGCTCAGTCGCTGTCTGTCCACACCACGTGCAGTGGGAGGAGCGGCTGGCTGCTCCCCGACGTCCTGACCGGACACCGCTGAGAGCAGCGAGTCGGACTGGGTGGTGGGGGAGGCGCCCTCTTCCTCAGGTTCCTCACTGATGTTTGGGGAGAAACTGCTCAGAGAGAGTGGCTGCTTGAAGGAATCATCTATTTCAAATCCCTCATTTCTGGAGGAATCATACTTAAGAGCATTTTGTAAAGACAGGAGTTTTTAATGGCTGCCAGAAAAGGGATTTCACACACTCTCTAACCCATCCAATATTTTAACAGTCCTTATTATCAAAAAATTCTTTCTTATCCCTTCTGTTACAGTTTAACTTTTTTTTTCTTTCCTCGTTTTCACCCCAGGCCTGGCCTCGGTGCAGATTAAGAACAGCTGGGCTCGGGCTCCTCCCTGCAGAGGACTCTTTCCTAGACCAGCAGACTATTACTAAGCTGCTCTCCAGCCTCCGCTCTTCCAGATGAATAATTTGTTTCTCTACTTTTCTGTTTCAGGTTTTCGTTTCCAACATTTTAGTCATTTTTGTGACTTCTTGTAGCTGTAAACACAGAACAGACACTGGCCATTACGGCCCGTAGGCCGTTGAGGCTGAAGGCCCCTCCGATGCACAGACTCCTGTGGCAGCCGGCGCAGTGGGGAGAGCGCACTGACAATCAGACAGACTTGGGCTCAAGTTCCTGCTCTGTCATTCAGTTGCTATGCGATCTTAAAAAAGTCATTAGCGTCAGATTCTCCTAAAAGTTGGAAATAAACAGCTTCCTCACAACACTGCTGAGATTAAACCAGAGAATGTTGCGAAAGTGGTCTGGAAATGGGCAAACCGTATTACTGGTGTATTATTGCTACTTTGGCTGTGGATGAACATAAGAAGAAAAAGACTCAGCTGATTTTGCCAAATCTCATTTCCAAAGACTGAAATCTTCATTATTACTCACTGAATGCCTCAACCAGCCTGCGGTAAAAGGATTTCTCCCCCCCCAGGAAATACTGAAGACACCAATAAAATAGAATTGTGGCAGTTACACAGTGAACATGATGTCACCATGATGTGGGCAAGTCTGGGGGTCAGGGAAGGGGCAGAGACACAGTTCAGTGGAACTCCTTGTACCCTTAACTGGCACCTTATCTGAAAGGCGATGCTGGGGTGGGTATTCAGAGAGAACAGGGGTGGGTCCCAGCATGACCTGCTCTCTGGTTGCTTAACTCCCATCCACATGATTGTGCCTGTCATCTGGAAGCAAAGAAACCTCAGGAACGCCTGCTGATAACTTCTGACTTAAGAGTGCTTTGCTGAACAGGGCCTGGTGCAGGCAGTCTAAGATGAGCATCCAACCTTGGTTCATCACCAACACGCTACGCGCAATTCCTCCTCCTTCCCCTCTTCCCTTTCTGGCAGGTACAGTTATTCTAGAATACTGGCGTTAGAGCAGGGCAGTGCTCAGGACTAGAAGAAACTGATAAAAATCAAAATAACCAGAAGTTCAATTAACCTGATTACGGAACTTCTTCCTTTCACGATATAACAATATTTGCCCATAACAGGTGTAGAAGACAGAAAAATGCCATCAATAGGTTTAAATCACATAAAGTTATTCTCCATTTAATGTGAAGTCTGTGTTTCAGTGAATTCTAATTCTCTGACAAGTGGCTACTCAATTTAACCAGTATTCACGGAGTGTCTGCAAAATGCCAGGCATTCGCCTAGGTACCTGGGATTCAATCCAAAAATATTTTAACTTCCAGTTAACTTCCTTTTACTCAAGAATTTTTAAAAAAATGGGATGCTACTGTAATCAAGACTAGCCATTGATCTCTGAAGCAAAGAATGGATCTAAAATGTGAAAACACTATAAAGGATCACAAAACTCCCTGGGGTAGAGAAGGGACAAATGGCATTTAATGTTGTGCAACCTCCAGAAACAGGGAAGCACTGACCCTGGCGATAATCTATCTGGGGGACGTGTGGACAGGTTCCAGTAGGAGCTGTGTCCTGTGCTGCGTCATCCCTGTCAATGGGGTTGCCCTTGTTAGGAGTCAAGAAGCAAGTCATCTGCTCGACCAGAGATGGGCTAAAGAGTCAAGCCCCAGTAGAAAGACCCCGTTTTAAGGAAACTGCTTTGATTCTGGAGGCAGGAGTAATCACTGAAGGGAAGCGACGTACCAGGGTATACGTGTCACAGGAGGACTCCGATGGCAGAGTTCAGTAAGACTGAAAAGGAAATTGCAAACTGGAAGACCAGTGACTGGACTCCTGCGGTGTTTCAAGGCCCTAACTCAGGTGCCGACTAGTAACTTCCTGAACGAGTTAAAGTCATTTAACTTGCTTCACTGAGAACTCTGAAAATAAAAATGATGACGGTGTCCACACACTTTTGAATCAAAAGGCCCCAACTCTTCCGGGCGAACCAATGCTTTCCCGAGCCCTTTGCACTGACGGCCACCCACCCCCGCCTACTGGCCGCCCACTGGCCAGGCTCCTACTTCACTTTCAAGAATTTGAGTATTAAAAATTCCACATTATTGGTTCTTGGGGGTTCCGTATGTAGTTTCACCAAAGTTAAACTTGAATAATTAAAAAAAAAAAACTAATCTTTTTTTAAAAAAAGTTGGGATTGTTTTGAATTGAAACAAACACCATCAGATTTAATTCAAATTGTTCTCCCAGAATGCCAAAAACAGGGCATGCTTTTTCCTATTCTGCCATGAAAACTCATTGTTTTGATACACAGTCCTATCACCATCTCCCTCCCTACTCCCCATTTTCCAAACTATACTAAGTTAAGATTCTAAAAGGCTGACCCAGGAGGAAACATTTATGGCCATGCAAAGAGACTTATAAAAATAATTATTAGTAAAGTACAATCGACACTGAATAATATCAGTGTTTTGTGAAGGATACTGCTACGTTAAGGGTATGTGAAAAAGATGCTCAAGGCAAAATCAAGACCAGATAGATACAAAGTACAGCATCCACGAGGGTTAGTGTGATTAACTTGTCACATAAATATGTTTAAGACAAAATGATCTAGCACTAAAAACTATTAAAAAGGTCTCCTGCTGACACTTTATCACGAGACATGTCACAGTGCTTTTCTTTCACAGGAAAAAAAACAACTGAAAATTCGTTTACTAAGAGTGGCAATATATAACCTTATCCCTTAAATAACTCACGCTTTCCTTTTAAGCTTTTCATTCCCCAAATAAAACTTTATCATCTATGCTGCATTCCAAAACCAAAACAAATGACTGCATCTCACTGAAGAGCGAAGAATTTTTCAGGATGTATTCTCGAGCTTTTATTGAGTATAGTACAAATTATGACTGAATATATTTTATTTAAAAACACGTTATTGACAGAAATCTATCAATAATAATGTGGGTATTGTCAAGGGCCTGTCAATATTAATGTAATTATGATTAAGGGGATAACATGGATTTTTAGCTATAACACCAAGTAACATCTCGTGCATTGCTGCTATCAATATACACACGATTATTGACCTGTTCCAAGGCGCTCAGTACTAGATGTATTACCATTAGGCATATTTGTCAATGCGTACTGCCCACAAAAATTCTACATTTAAATTTACAGTCCTATAAACTCTGTCAGTAGAAACATGTGATTCCCAAGTAATCTCTAAGGTTTCACATCCATCCATGCACCATCCCCTCCCCTGCCAGGCTATCCTTTTCCAGATCCACAATAACCAACTAATTTTAACTACGACAACATGGCTACCACACTATTCTAAGCCTTCTAGGAATTGAATTGGATGAGAACATATGTTCATTTTTTTTCCTTTTAGGTTTTAAAAATATTTTAAGCAACATTTCCTATTTGGAGGTTGCATGAATCAAGTTCTCTAACCAGAGTTTTTAAGCTTTGAGCCTGTTCCCTCCTATTTTATTTCCTTTGTGTAGTCAGATAGATTTACTGTCCATTGTATTGAAATCAATACTAATAAATGGGACATGCATCAAAGAGAGATTTAACAGGACACTGATTCCCAGAACACATTTCAAACATGAGCAAAAGAGAAAAAGCTATGCCCGGGACCCTTTAGAACACTGACCTCTGGCACTGTCAACAGGCCCAGAAATCGACACTTGTAAGTTCAAATCCCACTTCTGCCACAGGCTTGCTAAGTGCCGTGTCTCTGTGCTTTTCTTCCACTCTTTCATCAAATATTAAACTAAGTTTCAACAGATCATAGATATCTGGTGTTATAAATCCGAATTATGCTCATCTGGATACAGACAACAGGTGCAGAATTTTAAAATTCCCTTATGGACACTAGACCTCTAAATTACTCTTAACTTACATGCAATCCTCATCAAAATCCAAACAGAATTTCTGTTTTTCAAAGTGGTGGTGGGTACACAACAAGGTATTTCTAAAATACATCTGAAGGATAAACTTCAAAATAGCATATGTTTTTCAAAAAGATGAACAAGGATAAGTAACTTGCCCTAGCAGAGGGGAAATATTCTTTTTATTTGGAGAGAAGAGGGAATTCAACTCAAATACTCCAATCTTTAAGACTCCAATTAGTCTTACAAAATTGAGCACCTTACCTATTTCATGGCTGATAATATTTACTCAAGTATCTAAAAGTAACAGAAAATGCTTTTTTTAAACCTGAAGACAGAATTGCCCATACCTCAGCCTAGCTTCACAAATCCATTTCTAGGAGAACAGCATGGCACTCGTAATCTTTCCTTTCACAAAGCTGACGCTCCTGAGTCTTTCAGAGAGAAAGCACACTGTGGAAAGAAAGAGCAGATGTTTGCGTGGATATGGGAAGCAGCGGTAAGCTGGTTCTGCTTACTTCTGTATCCTGGCCCCACTTTACCACCAAGCTGTGTGACTCTGGACCAGTCATTTTTTCGCCCCACTATAATCTGCAGCAGTTAAAAAAATGCTTTTAACGAGCACTGCAAAAAGTCTACCTCTTTAGAATCCTTATAGGAATTGTTTTAGGAAACCTTGGAAGAGGAAGAAAATACATAAATAAATAAAGGAACAGCCATTCCCAACTGCAGAAATGGTAACGTCAAACATGAGTCTGGAAAAGGCTAGAGAAAGTGGAGAAATCAGAATGGTACCCATCAGACACAGGCTCAGTCCTCATGGAATAAACAGCAAAGCCTGATGGGAGACAATCCCAACCAATCTGTGACTTTACAACCGCAGTGAACCTCTACCACTTACTTCCTGGTTATGGAGCGCTAACAAGGGACTACCCCAGCTAAGTGCCCTTTGCAAAATGAAATAGTAAATCATTTAATCCTCGCAATATTATGAAAGAGATTCTTGTATTATTTTCGTTTTAAAACAAGGAAACTGAAGCACAAAGCGATGAGCTGAGTTGTGGGAAACCACACAGCTGGAAGTAGTGGGGCCATGCTCTGTACCAGCATCCTCTGCTGACACAATGACGATGGGCCTACAAGCTGAACATAATAAACACTTTAGGACAGCACTGCAGGACATGCAGATGGGGCTATTTTCAGAGGCTAAGTCCTAAGAGACTGAGAGCACAGGCATGAACTACAGCAAAAACTGTGATCCGAGGATGAGCAAACAAGAGCCACATGAAACTTAACGGAACAACTAAGTCTTTAAGTCCTCTATAAATCTGGAAAAGGACTTTAGGATCTGAGTCCTACGAAGAGAATTCTAAATGACTTGAAGATGACTGGAACACACGCTTAACTGCACACTTTATGGCACTCGAGAGAATGTGAAAATAGCCCTAAAGGAACAGAGGTATTAGCGAGGGACAAGCAGGAAGTAGCATGTGATACCTCCTGTATATGAGGCACTGGCTTCCCTATGGTTCTTTCTCTCATTTAATCCTCATAACACAGTCAGTATCACACCCATTTTAAGAAGTCAAAAATTAAGAGATTGACAACCTGTTTAGCATGCTGATCACCCACTGTGGATCGGGTGCCCCTGAGGAAACACAACTGTCACCCAGATTCGGGTGACATGGCGATCAACGTGTCAAGGTCAAGCTGGCAATTAGTAAATTTCTGGTGAACGCTAGGGAAATGGTGGAACACACAAAAGCAAGTCAGCAGTAGGGATATTTGGTAAGCCTGGATCAAATGCAATCCCACAGAGCTCAAAGCTAAATTTTTTCCCTCAAGATCATTCTCAAAACCAGACTGCCAGTCAAGCTCTCAGGACTGCAGATGCAGAAAGAAATTAAAGGAATGTGGTCAGGTTGCCCCCGATGCCTGGGATGTACCTCATCAACATTCCCTTTCCCTGCCTCTACCCACGTGGCCAGAGAACCGTTTAAAGAGACTGAATGTCAAATCTGAACAAACAGAATACGTCAGTGAAAAAAGGAGACTTGAACCCCCATCTATTATGAACACATATGACATGCTTAGTAGAGGCAACTCCAACCCACCTACCTAACACTGGAAAGGAACGGTATACGTAATCAAAACAGGATTACTTCAGAGCGCTTGGTTTTTATCTTTTAATAGTAAGAAGAAAAGACAACTGGGATGAAATTTTATCTCACCTTATTGATAGGGAGGTAAGAAGGAAGAGCTCTGAAAAAAGAATCAAATAAAACAAAAAGCAATCTAGAGAAAGGCATTTTGATCCATAGATGGGAGAAGGCTGGGAAGCTGACCGACAGACCACAGAGGGAAGGGCAGAGGCTGCTAGACGTCCTCTTGCCAGCCTCCATGTCCATGTCTAGAAATCACAATGCGGGCATTTGCAGGGCTGGGATTACAGATGCGGGGCAGACGGAGCAGTTCAGGGCTTTTCTCCTGAGGTTTCTTCCACATTCCAAAGGAACTGAAGGGGAACACGGGAGGTTTAGAAACTGCCGTCATTTCACAGTGAAGAGAAAAAGGGAGCATCCAATTTGCTTCTAGATTGTCCAACCCAGATAATCAAGGGAGGAAAAAAAGAAGCCAGGGATTCAGAGCAGAACTTTGGTCCAGAAAGAAAGAAACTGCAACTTGCATCCCTTTTCCCTGTGCTATAAGAACTGGTAGAACATGAGAGGGAAAGAAACTTAAAATTTGATGCTGTGAGGAAAATGTGGGGCCAGGACTCAGAATTTTACTAGCAACGTGATGTTGGGCAAGGCTGCTAACATCTTTAAGGTTCAGCTACCAAATGTGTAAAATGGAAAATATCTGCCCTTCCTATTGCAAAGACTATATTACAAGCTTCAAATATAAGCAAAAATTTTATGGCTAATATAAAATAGGGGGAAAGGAGAAAAGGAAAGAATTATGATTCTGATCATAAAGAAAGAATTAAATTTAAAATTTGTAGCTATTAAATAAGGTGGAATATAGAGAAGTTTGTGGCTTTTGGTAATGAATTAACTGTGAACAGATATATTTTATTATTTAAAAAAACTAATAATCAAATGAATGCATGCTGACTACAAATGAATAATTATCCTAAGAAATGAAATTTTAATGCTAGAAGGAAACAGATCATCTAGTCTAAGATATGAATTTAATTTCCCTAACAGGACCCCTGTTTTTCAAGCAGAACACAAGCTGTTCTTGTAAAATACTGCTGAGGGTCGGCTCGCTTTGTCTCTCCTCTGCATGGCTCCAGGCGATTTCTACAGCAGCTCTTCTATGGAACAGTTTTAAAGCCACAGATTTGACTGCTACTCCTAAGTTTTAAAAATGAGGAGAATAAAGCCAAGAGGTAGAGCTGGTCAAATGAAAACCACAGTTAAGAGTACAACTCAATTCTCTGGACTTACTCCAGCATTCTATGTCCTTTCTATTTTCTTTCCTTTCCTTTTTTTTTTTTTTTTAAAGAAAAAAAGGGGGGGGAGCAGATTTCTCTTTTTGGCTTTTAAATAATTCCACTCTCCCTTCTTTTTCCAAATCTCCTTCTGGCTCAGGATAATCCAACTCTTGATTTCTCTGGATACAAGTAATGGATAATATGGGCAAGATAAGGAAGTAGATAAAGCGAAAAAAAAAAGAGAGCAAGTCTGCCCCTAGTTTATTCTGTTCAGGCTTAAGTAAAGGTGACTCATAGGGGAAGGTGTGCAGACGACAAACTGGTGTGGATGGAGTCTCAGCCTCCCTGTAATTGCTTGAAACTGTCCAGGTATAAAGTGTTCCGGGGGTAACACAGAATACCAGGCATGTTAGACGTGAACATTCAACAACGCGGTCTCATTCTGTGACCAGCTTTTTCACTAAATGTAGTACTTCTGGAAAATGGGACCTAAAGAAATAGGTAAACAAACAATAACTTTTAATTTAAGGCCTCAAAAGAGAAATGATTTTCACTTTCTATTTTCATATCAGACACCAATGTTAAACGTAACAAAGCCTTCGCAAGCAATTTTCTAAGAAAATTCTTAGTAGTTCTCACCAAGAAAATTAAAACTGCTTTTGAGATCATAGGCTTTCAAAAATGTTGGAAACTTTATTTTTGGTACCAAATACAACGTTTTACATGAACTATCAGACATTAAGTAAAGTTTGGACCCTGCAATAATTCCTAAGCGGTTCTTAGGAGTTAAATCTCACCACCGCCAAGTGCGAGGAAAAGACTTCCAAGTGTGTGTCTAGAAAGTCGCTTCGTGGGATGCAAAGGAGCTCAAGTCTAGCTGCGTCTTTTTCTCTTTTTAATGGTGCGATCCTAAGACTATTTTTAGGGGTTGAGGTTCGTTCCACTGCCTTTCCCCAAATCAGACTTTGATTTGCCTCCTCCAGGAAGACAGAAAGCCCACGAAACGGGGAAACAAGCAAAGGGCGACAACTACAAGGTCGTGAAAGTCCGCGCCCTCCCAGCTGTGAGCAAGACCTCGGGTTTGCGCTCCTGGTCTCTCGGGCGTCACTGACCTTAGGCGTCTGCGAAACGCCCGGCTCCGCGTAACTGTTTCTCAAACATTCTCTGGGAAGCGTGGCTTTTCCTAGCAGAACCTGGGCTCCCCGGGCTTCCGGAACTCGCGGGTTTACGCAGTGACGCAGGACCCGGAAGTGCCTGAAAAAAAAGGGGAAATTAAACCACCGAGGACTACGCTTCAGCGCGCGGCGGAAGGCCCGGGAGGGCCCAGCCACAGCGAACGCTGACGAGCCGAAGGGACGAAGAGCCGACGAGCCGAAGAGCCGAAGGGCCGACGAGCCGAAGAGGACACCCGCGCGCGGTGATTGGTCATCTGGCCGTGAGGTAAGCCGTATCTGATTGGCAGGAGAGTCGCGAACCCGTCAGCCCCGGGGTCGGGGGCCGCGCGTGGAGAGGCCTCGGTGTCAGGGGCCGCGGGGAAGCCGGGGCTTTTGAGGGCAGGGCTTTCCCGGCCTTCAGACGCCGGCGGCGGGCTGCCGGACAAGCGCCGCCGGGTGGCGACGGGGCGCCTCCGCGTCTCGGGGGCTCTCCGCTCGCCCCGGATGGAGGGCCCGCTGCGGGGCAGGGAGCCTCCGTGTGCGGCGGCGGCATCCGGGCCGGGGCCGTGGGGGCGCGGGTGGCTCGTCGGCCGCTGCAGGCTCCCGGAGGCGGGTGGCCGCTCTGGTCCGCCGTCCGCCTGCGGAGCCGCGGCCCGGGAGGCCTGCCGGGCGGACTGCACACGCCCGCAGCATCGGGCCGTGAGCTCGGGGCCGCAGGGCCTGTCCGGGTCACCCCGGAGCTCTCAGAAACGCGGACAGCCAGGTCGCCCCGCCCTGGGGAGCCCAGGCAGGACTTCTAGGGCTGGGGTCCGAAGGAACGTATTTCTTGAGCGTTCACCAGGCAATTCTGTGCAGCCGGCTCTGAGACTCGCCACCGCCTACTCAGTCTATAGAAGGGCTGGCTGTGTCTGGCTGGCTCGTTTGCTGTAAGGTTTGAACGAAGTCTGGGTGGGTAAAGCTTCCTGCACACAGTAGGTCTTGAGAACATTTTCGCTCTTGTCTACCCCCTCCCCAGCCCAGCCTCCTCCCCAGGAGCACTCAGTCCTAAGATGGCTGTATTGTTGGACATTGGAGAGCGCGTCCTGTAGAAGCAGCGTTACAAGAAAGCCTCCCCCTCCCCCAATTATCCCATGCAACAGTTGTTACTCAATATAGAACATTATGGATAAGATAAAAGAACATTTATCAATGAAGTCTAATACTGGTCAAATAAGTTTCTACAGTAAAGGTATACAGTTTGACATCACTTAGACCTGGAATTTTGTTGTCTTCCATACATTAAGGAGATCTCAGAAAGGTCAGGCCTGGGAGGATGGTGATGGTTCCTTGAATTAGTGAAATTTCCGCCATGTGAACCAACCGTACAGATGAGAGAATAGGAGCTAGAAGTTGCTCACTTAGGTACAGGAGTGGGGGTTCCCCTGGAGCTCAAGTTGGCCGCCACAGTAGCGGCCTGCAATACGGGTTGGCCAGATTACGGTCTGCTCTAAGAGTAAAATGCCCACTGGGGTTCTGAAAAGAAAACAATAAACTATTTCATGTTATACTGGTTACATGTTGACATGACCATGTTTCAGAAAATTTAAAATTACACATGTGGCTCCTGTTACATTTGTATTGGATAGTGCAGTTCTAGAGGATAAGAAAATCTCTGAAGAAGACCACGGCTCTTATTTAGCAATTGTGAGGGAGGCATCCATGTGGTACTTCTCAGTGCCAACTGAAAATTGGTACTCACCACCTGCCTCTAGAAGGGTAGAATCACATTGGCACTTGCCATCTACCTCTGCTTGGATTAAATCAGGAGCTGATGACCTCCAGTACTCCTGAAAGGAGTTTAGGGTGGAGATCAGGCATGAGGCACTCTATACTCTGGGAAAACTGGTGGAACAGGCCTTCAGGAAGAGTTTTTCAGAGGTAGATTTTATGAGCCTAAATTCTTACCTCTCATTTCTAGAAAAGCACTAGAATCATTAGGCAGTGACACATCTGCTCTTGGTGACTAGCAGCAAGCCTAAATGTGTGCTTGACCACATGTACCCCACCTTGACTGAAATCATGTAATATACCGAGTTCCCCCTGCTTCCTCAGAGCAATTCCTCAAAGCTATGTGAGATGCTGTCTCCCGGGCTATAGTCCTCATTTTGCCCCCAAATAAAACTTAACTTACAGTTCTCATGTTGTGTGATTTTATTTCAGTCAATATCAGGTAGGCCTGCATTTGTAGTGTGCTTTACTTAATTTTTATGAAAGGGAGAGAAAAGGACCAAAAAAAAAAAAAGGCTAACATAGAGGATATTTTCAGAATGCAGGTTCTAATTCATGGAGCCCTACGTATGAACATCATAGTAATCTGTTAATAATAAAAAGATACCACGCTATTGAGAAGTACGAATTATGTTTCATGATCTGATTAAGAGGGTGAAACATGTAGAACATTTAAGATTTCTGTTGAAATTGGTTCATGTAGGTTCTGGATTTTATCAGTTAATCTCTAGACACAGTAAACTGTTTTCATTTTCCAGTGAGCTAGTAAGCTGAGGTTTCAGGGAAGCTTTGTTTCCAGTTTGTTTATAGTTGCTTTAAAAATATTTTTCAATCATTTATTATAACAAAAGCCTACTGGGGGCCAGGAGTATGGCTAGGCAGTGTGATATAAAGGTGAACATCCAGACATGGCCTCTCTTGGAAACAATGAGTATCAATTCAGAGACAATGAAAAAGTACACAATAACCAAGGTATAGTGTATTTTGCCTTTGAGTAAGTGCTTACCTCTGTAAATTCCACACATTAATTATTTAAACCTACAATTTATATATTCCTGCTGACACGTTAATGAAGAGTCTTGTTAGAACTTGACTATGGGCTTAAATATGTTAGTAAAAAATCATAGTATATTTCATGCATCTGTTAATTATGAACTTAAAGAAAAAAATTAAATTTGAGTATTTACCTTTAAATATAAAAAAAGATTAAAAATCACAATAACATCTTATGTATGATACCCTCTTTTAGCCTTTCAGCACCTTTTAGGTTCTAAGGAATTTAATAATAGAAATGTAAAGGAGACATTGATTTATGCCCCTAACATAGTTTAAAATTGCTGACTTTAAAAAGATACATTTATTTTAGCATATTACAGAGTTCTTAAATCAATATATTTGAATCTTTTAGGAAAAAGTTAAACATAAATCTCATGTTAGTTTACTTCTGCTGCTGTAACCAATTACCACAAAGTCAGTGGCTCAAAGCAATACCAATGTATTATCTTAGAGTTCTGCAGTCACAAGTCCCACTTGAGTCTCACTGGGCTAAAAATCAAGGTGTCCACAGGTCTGCGTTCCTTGCTGGAGGGTCTAGGGGAGAATCTTGGTTTTCTGTTTATTCAAATTGTTGACCAAATTCAGTCCCTGGTTCCTGGCCGGCTGTTGGCTGAGAGATGTTCCCAGCTTCTAGAAGCCACTCCCATTCCGTGGGTTGTGGCTCTCTCGCACCATCTTCAAAGCCAACAGTGGCGGCTTGAAGCCCTCTCATCCTTCTGATTCCTCTTCCCTCTTCTTCTGTTGTTTCGTCTCTTTGATTTCAGTCTTGTAAGACTCTGGTCAGGTTGGGCCTACCTAGATAATCCAGGATAATCTCTCCCCATCAAGGTCCATAACCCTAACCACATCTCTAAAGTCCCTTTTGCCATAATGAAGTCATATATCCACAAGGGCCAGGGTTAGGGTGTGGACATTTTTAGGGGCCATGCTTCTGCCTGCCACAGACCTTAACTGGGCCCACATGGTTTACCCATCACTCTTAGTTCTCTCAGTACTGTAGGATAGAATAATGGTTATAGTAACAGTACATTGTATTAGATGTATAATACGTTCCAGCCTCTATTCTAAACCCTTTTTCTACATTTACTCATTTAGTCCTCGGAAATGCCTAGGAGACAAACACTATTATCCCCACTTACAGATAGGGAAACAGGTACGGACTGGGGAAGTGACCTGCCTACTTCTCACAGCTGTCAGGTGGTGGAATGAGGACTGGAAGCTACGCAGTCTGATGCTCTGACCTCTGCACGCTCTGAAGCACAGTGTAGTGGATATCATTTGTAAACATCTGGATTTACTGAACATGCTCTAGTGATACAGTGACTACGAGTTTCAGCTCGAGCATCCTGATGTTCGGATTTATATTCTATCTTTACCAGTTACTGGATGACTCTGGACAAGTTACCTAACCTCCCTAGGTCTCAATGAAGAGTAAACTGAACTAACAATAACACTGCAGGATTAAATGAGGCACCGGATGTAAAATACTTAGAATAATGCCCCCCAATAAGCTATTGCCAGCTCTAATTATTGATGGCAATTCAACTTTTAAAAGCCATCATTTATTGTAAAAAAGGAATATTTCCTTTAGGCAAGTTCAATATCTTTATGGGACAAAAACTGAAAATTAAAATTTTCCTTTCACAGCAGCACAATGCTGTCTCCTTTCCCAGCCGTGAATTTCCCTCCAGTCTAGTCTACATCTTTCTGGTGGTGTTACTTTCCAGCTAGTGTTTCCTGATTGTAGATTGTAGACACTTTGTCCAGACTCTAGTTGCCCCGGGTTAACATCCTGATTCCTTAGAAAGGCACCAGGACATAAAGTCCAAATACCACACCCTCACACACACACCCCCGCTGTCATCCCTCTGCCTGGTATTTACACAGCCACCATTCCTAACTTCTCCCTGTTCCTTTTTGTTATTATGGTTCCTGGAGGGAGACACGGCATATGTGGGGTCTCTGGCCATAATGCCTTTCAATACAGCTCCAAACCTCACCCTCTCTTCTAATAATCTTTGTTGTCGTTGCCTTAATTCAAACCCCCATGCTCTCTGTACATTAAATCATCTTCTAACAAATTCCTGCCCTCCAGCCTTACCACCCTTCAAGCTTACTCTCCTCTCTGTTCACCAGAATAATCTTTCTAAAGTACAAAACTCTACACGCTGCTCTGTAACTCTCCTTCAAACCCTGCATTGTCTCTGCCCAGGCCCAGGACCTTCAAATATGATTCTTTGTACTATGTCTCATAACCCCAGTTAGGTGCTA